ATTTTTAGCATAAGGATTTTAGAAAAAAGTATCGTCTTATAGTCGGAAAAATACGGTACTTTTGCTGTTCTCTATCATCTCAAAGTGCAGAGAAAGGACTAACTGACTTGGCTTACAGGGAGACAGATTCTGGTTGACCATTAGGAAAAATTTTCTGACAGCAAAAAAACTTAGTTTTAGAATCTAAAGAGCTGGTTCCAAAGGAAGAGAAAGAGTTGGTGACATGTTTTCACTGGATATGTTCAAGGCAAAGATAAACAGATTTTAGATTCATGCACTGAGCAGGGAATTTAATCTGAATGGCCCTTTCCAGGTCTACAGTTCTATGCAATATCCTACCCAGTGCACAAACCCACTGTTATAGCATCCCTGAGATGTGGCCATCCAACTTCTGTTTAAACACCTCCAGTGAAAGAGAGTCCTTTATCTTCCTTATTGAACAGCTCTTACAGAAATTCTTCTTGATGCTATTAAATTTACTTTCTTGCATTGTTTTTGTCTTGTCTTCTGGAACAACATTGGACAAGTCTATCCCATCTTCTATATCACAACCCTTCAGAGAGTTGAAGGCAGCTGTTTCTGCAGTCTTCACTTCTCCAGAATAAGCATATGTAATGTCTTCAACCATCCCTCACAGTTTTCTCCTTGCAAGGTTCTTATACCACCTTGGATGCTCTCTTCTGGACATGCTTCAGTTTGTCTATGTCCTTTCTAAAATTTATGCCACAATTAGATGCAACATTCTAGGTATGGCGTGACCAATGCAGAATCTATCTATATACTACTAAAACTCTCTTATCTGTAACCTTCAGGTGGGCGAAACAGTGCATCCTACGGCAACAATTTTGAACCAAGGTACCTCAGATGGGCTAACTTACAGAATGCATTCAAAATCCAGGGTCCATTACTCCCATGGGATTGAAATTTGAGAAATTTGTGGCTGCTTCAGTACTTCTGTGTGGCTGCACCACTGTGGTCAGCCCAGGTCATGTGATCGTCATGGGCATATCCCCAACCTCTTTCCCGCCTCCCTCTGTCCCCTGCCCCCAATCGGCTGGTGGCAAGGCCCAACGGGCAAATGGCAATTGGTTGCTTTGTAACTGAGGCAGAAATCTGAAATCTCTTAACAGCTGTGGGTGTTGAGGGAAGGATGAGGGAGTGACTTGGATGCCTGCTGGCGAGGTAGGGCTGGCTGGGGGGCACTGGTGGTTGACAGGTGAGCCCTCCAAAGGAAGGAAGGAAAGAAGGAAGGAAGATTTCTGATGCTCCCTGCCAGCTTCCCACAAGCAAAGTCAGTGGGGAAGCTGGCAGCAAGTTGCAAGCTGCTCATACTCCCACTGCTTTTTTGCCCTTGGTCATTCTGTTTCTCTGTTGAGGTAAGGAAATATTGCTGAAATGACGAGCCAACGGGTCATGGGTTGTCTAGTAGAGAATAACAATGACTTATCTGAATCTTGATGCTATATTTTTGTTGAGCTTTTTTTTGTTGTTTGCAGCTATATCACAATGTTGGCTTATGCCTAGACACCTAGATCCTTTCCACATTTATGCTTCCCAGTATTGTCTCTATACTCATGCTTTTGTGATGGAATTTCTAGCAGGCCTGGGAACACAGAGAAGAAAACAAGACCTCTGCAAAAGAGACACCTGAGTCTGGGGGAGGGGGGAATATGAAAAAGTGACTTAGAGTAACTCTGCTAAATATAAGTTGAACTGGAGAATTATTTTATCTGGTTTTCAAAATTCTTTACCATACTAGCAATAAAGATATTTCCAGAAATCCAAGTGGAACAGTATTTGCCCTTTTTCAGTCTTCTGTGATTTATCAAAGATCATAGAGAAAGGTTCTGAAATGACTTTTGCAAACTCCTTCCCGGATATAGCTGTTCCCATCCTCGAGATTTAAACTTGTTCCTTGAAGCCAGAAGCTCCTTAACTAACTCTTCCCTTAACTTGTGTAGCCATTCCCTCCCTGTGTTAATTGTTGTTTAGGTCCATTTGGGAATGAGACTGAAGAAAATGGGAGTTGAGAAAAGGTCACTCGCTACCATCTTCTCCAAGCAACAGCCTACCCTTTTGTTTTATTACCTCCTTACCTCTTACTATTATTTCTTGAATGTTGGCATTTGTAAGAAAAATCAAGATCATTGCAATTGTTTTATGCAATTGTTTTAATCTTCATAATGACTTCCCTATCTAATTGTTTTGAAATTTAAATGTAGTAAATTACTGCTACTCCAACTTACCTGTGACATCTAATGGACGTTTTTTAAGAGCTGTAGCTACAGGACTATCTTTTCGTCTTAACAAAGGACTGCTGCGCCTTTCAGCAACCTTCTGCTTTAATCTAGATCGCAATTTGAGATTGGGCTCAGATGCTGAAATTGACAAAGTAGAAACTGAATTTATTTCACAAAAACAGAATTTTCTTACTGTTACTCAATGCCTCCTTGATAGAAAATATGCCCATCTAAGAAAATACATTCTTACAACTACGGTATTACAGAAATAATACACAGTAAGTATGATTAGTAATATATTAACATATAAGAAAAGGGTAGTAGATCTGAATAATCACAAAAGAAGGTAAGCAAAACCTATGCCTCTGGCATAATTTCAATGCAATAATAATAAAAAATAATATTTATTTATCTATTCATTTATTCTACATTTTTGGATCCACCTATTTCAAAAGACCCTGGGTAGGTTATAACACATTAAAATTATAAACACAGTAGAAGGAATGAATCAAAAGTATAATAAAATGGTAATAATGAATCAACACTCCCTCAAGATAAAATAACATTTAGATAGGATTGAAGGTTCAAGTGAACTTATTCCATTCTAGCAAGGTGCTGCCTGATATAATCTGGGGCTATCTATATAAAGGATTACCAGCACTTTGAACTGGGTCCAGAAACCTATCAGTAACCAGTGCAATGACTTCAAGAGATGTGACCCTGCAATGGCAGGGTTGACCTACCAGTAATCTTGTCATCACACTCTATTCCAGTTGTAGCCTCTGGGTGATCTTCAAATGCTTCCACAGAGAGATTACAGCAATTAATTAATTAAGTAGTTACAGTAATGCAGATGGGTAAAGATTGAAGTGTGAGTTATTAATTCCAGAATATCTTTGCACCAGCCAAAGTTGTGCAAAGGGCTCCCTGTCATGCCCCCCCCATATTGTTTAAGTAGCAGCTAGGAGTCCAGGAGGATCCTTAAGTTATGCATCAACCTCTTCGTGAGAACCATGACCCACATCAAGAATAACTACCGGGACCAATGACCCTGGATGTTTGATGATATACAGAAGCTCAGTCTTGGAGGTATTTACATTTGAATTTATTTTGCCTGAAGTCTCCAAACACTGATTCAAACTTTCCACAACATCTCTGACTTAGCCTGGGATGACAATCTATAGTTGACTGTGTACACATCCCAAACAAATGGATGACCTGCCCCAGTTGGGTCATATAGATATTAAAGAGCATGGGGGAAAGCACCAAGCTCTGAGGTACTCTGCACTAGAGTAATCTAGGCATCAAGTGCTGCTCTACAACTTTAAACTATCCACTCGGTAGGAGTGGAACCATTGCAAAACAGTGCTTCCAACTATCAGCTTTGCAGGTAGCCCAGTAAGATTCCACGGTGAATAATGCCAAGAGTCCAAAAGGACTAGGAAGGGCATAATGGCCCCATCCAAGTCCTGTTAAAAGTCTGCCACCAGAGTAACCAATGCTATTTCTGTTGTCTGAATCCTGACTGATCTAGATAATCCATTTTCTCTAAACTCTCTGAAGATGATCCATCACCACTTTCTCAGCAACCTTTCTCCAAAAGGGGAGAAGTTATAAAAAGTTAAACGCCAGTCCTGTGGCAATATCCAGGAGCTTGTGAAGGGCCACTACCAGGCAGTAAGTGGACAATACACAACAGCAACCCTAAAATATCTCTATGGTCTACATAAAGGCACTCATAATTTATTACCTCCAGTGGAGTCACTAAGGTTTCCTATACCATCACAGCCACCCCTCCTCCTGGGTCAAGGCATCATGGCTGTTGCAGCATCTGAAACCCAGGTAGGCAAATTTCTGACAGGGCTACATCCCCACTGTTGCCCAACCAGGTTCAGCACTACAAGCCACATCAGCACATTTACCCACTACCATACCAACAATGGACACATTTTGCACTGATGTGGAGTTTACCAGCAAGAGCTGGAGGTCAAGGCATCCAGCAATTTATTCACCTGAGCCCAGGTCTGCGGTAGCTAGCTTAAGAAGGGGCCTACGCTAACATCTGGGTCCCCTTTCTCCTCAAACAGCCTATCTAGCACCCAACACCATACCTTCCCCTGCCCATTATGATCTCAAACCAGGCCTCCATTAAAACAACCCCAAAGATAATCATCCCCTCATTCTTATTCCTTTCATAGTGTTCATACCCTATGGCCACTTCAGCAATACTGGCTGCCATGTGTGATTATTTCTGCAGACTAGCCTAGTTCATTGTGAACACAATTAGCATTAACTCTAACCATCCACCTTTCTTTTCCTTTCCTTTCCTACCCTACCCTACTCCAATTTATTTACTTATCAATTTAACAGCTCTTCTCAATGAGCAGGTGTCAGGCATAGCCAGGAAGACTTTTGCCCAGCTTCATCTGGTGCACCAGTTGCTCCCTTTCCTAGATCAAGGGGCCCTTCAGACAATCACTTATGCCCTGGTCACCTCACAGCTTGACTACTGCAACATGCTCTACATGGAGCTGCCCTTGAAGACCACCTGGAAGCTTCAGCTGGTCCAGAATGCAGCAGTGCAGACAGTGATGGGCATGCCTCAGTATGCCCATGTATCACCTCTGCTTCGCAAGCTGCACTGGTTGCCACTTCATTTCCAGGTGTGATTCAAGGTGCTGGTCACTACCTATAAAGCCCTACATGGCAGAGGGCTGGTTACCTGAGGGACCGCCTGTCTCCCATAGTATCTGTCTTGCCAGTTTGATCTGGCACAGTTGGCATGCTCCAGGTTCCATTGATTAAACAATGCTATCTGTCTGGACCCTAGAAGCTCACCTTCTCTGTAGCAGTCCCTACCCTCTGGAATGAGGTTCCCCCCAAAATTTGAACAGTTCTTACCCTACTGGTATTTCGAAGGGCCTTAAAGACAACTGATACCCCTTTCTTCCTTTCTGTACCCCTCTGGGTTTATTTTCTTTGCCATTGTTGTTCTTTTGTCCTGAGATATTTTTTTTCTTCTCTGTATTGTTCTTTGTTTTTAAATGTTTTAACAATTATAAACTGCCCAGAATCGTTGGGAGTCAGGCAATATATAAATTTAATAAATTATTATTATCATCTTCAAACATCTCGTTCAACCAACCCTACCAGATCTCTCCACCCAAACCACTTCCTGTTCTCTCACTCCAGGGAGAAGGGAACCCCCATAACCACTCCCCAACTCTCATTTGGTAATACAATATAACAACATCTAATAATCCAAACTTGGCTACAAAATCTTTCTTGTTCTTCCTGGGGAAACACTCACTCTAGCCCAACAAATTCAGCTCATAAAATGACTACACACCCAAGGCTTTAAATTGTCGTATCCAGATTTTCCTAAATCTCTTATCAGCACCTATCAGTCCTCTTCAGCACAAAGGCTTATCCAGACTCCAGTGCCATTCCATTCCAGTCCAACTCCTCTGTTCTACTTCAGGCTAAATCTCACAAATTCAGATCCTGTCCAAAGCTTCTTCACCCTTGCACCTTGCTGCTGCTCTGGTAGTACTGATGGCATAGTATTACCGAGGTAATACAATATATTCCAGTTCAAAATCATTCCAGCTTAGGTTCATCCAGCATTCTGACCCAATGCCAAGGGGAAACAAACAGGTTTTCAAGGTGTTACAAAAGGCCGCCAGGGTTGGAGCCATCTACATTTTGGGGGAATATGATGTTTCAAAGGGCAACTGTTGTGACACAGCAGGCATGCTAGTCTTGTTAGTTGGCACTGTTTCATGGAAGGGATGAAACGTCCCCAGAAGTTTCATGTAGACGATGAACAGAAACAGAGAGCCTTGAGGAACCCCACAAGCAGGGGTCTCAGGCTGGATCTCTTCTCCCCTACCAACAATGACTGGAGCCAGCCCTGATACCATAATGTATGGTATCAAAAGCTGCTGAGAGATCATGGAGGGTCAGGATGGATGCATCACCTCCTCCTCCTTGTCCCACCTGAACTCATCTACAGATGTAATCAAAGCCATCTTGGAACTGTATCCCAGGCTGAAATCCAAATGAAAAGAATCCAGATTTCCTCTAGGGCTTTCTGGAGCTGAAAACCACCCACCATCTCAATAACCTTTCCTAAAAAGGGAAGGTTGCAGACCAGATGAAAATTGTTCAGTACCACTCACCATATCTTTGCACAGAAGGGAATGAGGTCTCAAAATAATTACCTTAAAGTTTAAATAATTAAATATGAAAAAAGTCACTCTTCCAATTCTGAAGCCATAAAAAGCTTTATAAACCAAACCCAGTACAGTACCTTAAACTGAGAAGAGAAACCAAGTGGGAATGAATATTACGGTTTAATATAACACCAACTGTTCATGATGCCCAATTTCTCTCACCGCCATATTTTATACTAATGGAACTTTTCAGACCATCTTCAAGGGTAACCCCATGTGCAATGTACAGATTACTGAAGTGAGGTTATCTCCAAGTAGCCAGTGCTCTAGCTAAATAGAGGATGCCTACCTCTAATGACAAAATTGTTCTTAAAGCATTCCATGCTTTGGATCTACCTCTTTCAGAATAGACTGAATGCCATTCATTTGGACAACTGACCAACAAAATCTCTCTGGGCTGAGATTTAGTGTATTGGTTCATATGCAACTCATTACTGCAACCAGGCACTAATAAAATATTTCTGCATACTGATAGGACCATCAGTACTTTTTACATAAATGAGTACGTGAGTTTATTTGGATATTACATAAATCTCCTAATAAACTCGCCTAGTCATTTTATGAAAAAGTTTAATACCAAAGTGTTGAATTGAAATCCCTTAACGCCATCTTCAGGAAAAAGCCATCCAAGTATGATTGGAACTTTTACAAAGATGTATTACCATAACTAACTCTGCAAAAGGGAATCTAGGCTGATGGTCTTGAAAGAGGCACAGCAGAATCAACAAAGTCTCTCTGTCTTTGTTCATCCCATTGTTCCAATGACAAAGTCAGGCCTAAACTACAACTGAACTGGACCTAGGAAATGATTTCCTGAAAGAATATATGGCACTGATCAGCTACCAGTCACTTAAGTGCTTTGCTCAGAAAGGGAATGTTGGCCACCTGCCTATAATTTTGGGTACACTGATTCCCCCCCCCCCCCAGAAAGAGTCTCCCTATTGCTTTCTTAAATGAGGCTAAGTTCACTTTTTCCTAAAAGGAGGAATTCATCAATCCACCTGAGCACTCCGTTCCGATTAGGCATGTTTCAAGAGTCATTGGCCAAGCTTCTTTTTTACATCACTAGACCTAAAAACTGAAATTCATTCTGACTAATAATCTGACTAGAACTGTATGAAGTGAAATAACTGTAGAATCAAGTAATGATGGATATGATCAATTCTGTCTACAAAACACCCTGCAATCTTGTCACAGTGAGCAACTAAAACATCTATTGGATATCCTACCAGGTCCAAACCTAAAAGATATGAATCAATTCAAATTTGTTAAATAAGTTGGGCACTACTGAGGGTTCATGGAAATACTGAGACAAGCAGCAAGTCTGTAATATGTATGGCAGCCAGATGAATATTGCTGTTGAAATACTAATTCCTTAGGTACTATATCCACCTGGAGGGGCAAACTGGATCTTGTTAGTCCTTATCAGTTGATGTAATATACAACTCTGATGAGAACTTCTCAATGGTACAACTGATGGTACAGCTTCTCAATGAGAAGCTGTACCATCCGACAGCTGAAAACTCCTTTGAAGAACCAGTGTTTTGAAAACCACTAAGAATGTGAACACACAGATCATCTCCACATCAAAGCCCTCTCACTCACATAAGCCACCAGCATGCTTCCCATTCTGTTAGAAAAGGATGGAAATGAGAGAAAGAGCTGGCTCCACTAAAAAGAAATAAAACCCATGCATCTACTTCCAGGTTCATCAAGCCAGATCTGTAGGGAGGGTCTTACAGATTGATGGGAAGGAGAAAAAAATGAAGGAACCAAGACTGGAATGTTTGCTTACATAAAAAAACATACTGCATTATAATGGCCATCATTTAATCCAAGAGATTAATCTGACGGAGACAAAGAGAAACAACAAGGAGCAAACACTCACTTTGTTGTAGATAAGTCAAAAGGTAGCCATTAAAATTGAAAATACCAGTAGCCTATTACAACATGAACTTCTGATGAGAAGTTTGGATAACTATATGAAAATAAGCATCGTGGAGATCTATCATGGGAAGTAAAGCTTTTTGATTAACAAGGAAATATGATAGCCAATATTACAAAAGCTATATGGGATGACAGATTAGTTGAGATTTCACAGATCTAAAACTGGATAAAGTCCTCTGTTGTTTAGTACAGCTGCAGAAAGATAAGGAGAAACCCACCATCACCAGCAGTGAAAAGACTGTGGCCTCACCCACTTTTGTAGTGCACCCTTTAATATTTTGCACAAAATTGATGCAATCCTCAGACTGATGAAACTAGTACACTCCCCCTTTAGAACAACAGTACACAGAACACCACAGCATACAGACCAACTATTTCAGCCTAGTATTAACTGTATGTAGCGAGCAATATAATGACTACAGGATTAAAGAATGAAATGAAAAATAATTGGAATGAGAGAAGTAGCTTTAATTTAGTCATCACTATCACTTCACAGCCAGGGAACAGAAGGAATGATTTATTTGATTATTATTTAAAATAAAAGTTTTGCAATTCTATGTGAACTATGAAAAATAAGATTTACCTGTTTTTCTGAGTGGAAAATCATCTTTGGAATCATACATTCCTAATACAGGGTGATTGTAAGTGCCTGATGCTCCACTTTGTGGTGGAGAGCTCTGATCAAGAGAACTATGTTGTGTTTTCCTAAAAAAAAATGTTATTACAGAGGTTAAGAATACTATCTCCATTGTTTATACTGATGCCTCCAAGTCACGTTTCTCTTCTGCCATGACAACTAACATGTTAATACAATAAATATGATGTCTCCAATTCTGCACAAATCATTAGAAATGCATTTTACAACTGACAATAAACACTGTTTTTCTTTTCATTTAATTGAAACTTTTAGCATTTTAACTTAAGAACATTAACACAATGCAGAATTTTAGAGCTAAAGCTTATTCAGTTATTATTTTATTTCATTTTTAAAATGGTTTATAGCCTGTTTTTGCCCCTAGAGCACTCATTTATTTCTCTCTACTTCCAAACTATATAATTATATGTCTGTTATAGCAGTATTTATAGAGCTATTACGTTTCCTTTAGTTTTCAAGGCAGCATTCAGGGTATTGGCTTTGATCTTTAAAGCCTGAAATAGCTTATGCCTGTATTTCTGTTTCTATATCTGTTTGTTTGTTTGTTTGTTTAAGGTGCTTTTTTGACACTTCAAGTGCTATGAAACTAAGCGGCTTATAATAAAAGCATTAAAAATATATAAATTAGCATGTAAAAATCAAAATATAGCCACATCTCAATAACATAATTCCACCTTATACTCATCAATTCAAAATGACAAATGATGTTAAACAGTGCCACCATTCATCTCAGGTATCCACTCTTCATTTCACAGTTCAAATGCTCTTTGGAATATTTTAATAATTTCCTAAATACTAAGATGCAGAGCTTGTATCTGATGGTACGGGCCTTCCACAAGAGGGGAAACCCCAAAGAAAATGCCCATCTCTATGTACCCTCCCACACATCTCATGTAGCAGATATTCTCTGCCTTGGGTGGGCAGATTCTGCAGGTTACCAGGTCCAAAGCCATGAAGGTCTTTAAAGCTGATAACTGATAACCAGCACCTTAAACTGAACCAGAATGCAGTGCCTGGAATTCTGGTTGGTATATAGGCAGCTGGATTTTGCATCACCTATCATTTGTGGATGGTCTTCAAGGGCAGCCCCAACATAAAGTGACAAGAGCACAAGAGACTGTTGCTAGTGGTTCCCATGTTTGTTATTTCAAACACTTTCCTTCAATGTGAAAAGTATAGGGAATAAAAAACAGAAATCTAAATGATCACTGCTGATGTATGAACTTAATTTTGCAAACAAGAAAGCAAAGTAGACATATGGCACAAGCTTCACAGAGAATAATCAGCATGTGAAAGAATTTTTCCTATAGTCTACATTAGAGATCCTAACTTGCACAGAATAGCATGAGCATGCCAGAAGTGAAACTAAGCTTTTGGCACACTAGGCCCAAATGTCAATCATTCATTCCTATTAACAGGGAAATGCTGTATGTAGCACTGATATATCCATGGCTGGTAACATAGCCTACTCTTTTTTAATCCTAGTAAAAAATGTTATGTGAAAGCCTCGACTGAGCAAAACCACGATGGACAGTAAACATCAATATTCATGGCCGAAGAATTTAAATGTAAGAGAAGTATATAGTAAAAGGCATGAATTAATAATAATAACAGTTATGTTGTACATTTGTACAGTTAAGACAAAGGGGAAACATGTAATATTCTGAATCAAGGTGGTCTGATAGAGTAGGGTTGATGAATATGTGTATGAAAATAAAAATATAGGTTTAATTGTGAACAAAGGGCTAAAATGTATATCAAAAAGTATGAACTAGGAAAATCTAGACTGTTGTGGGTATGTATGGAATTCATAGCTTAATGATAGTGGTATATAATCCCGTGAATGATGATAATGAAAGAACTAGGGATGGCTTTTGGGGAAGCAGGATTGATTTTAGACTGTGAAAGATATGAGAATAAAGAGAATTAGAGGTTCTGAAAATGAGAGACTTTTTTTTCTTATATCAAGAGTTATCCTGGGAAAATATATGGATGAAAAGGGGGAAACAGTGAAAGAAACTAGACTGAAAGTAAAACAACTTCAGGAAAAGAAAATCCAAGTCCTGTATGAAAAAGAATATAATAACTTCCAACAGAATGAATGGAAAGTAGACATAAATAAAGAGGATATGAAGATTTTTGCAACATACTGGGGAAAAATTATTACAGAAGACTATGGTTTCACTAATCAGAAATATAAAAAGAATGTTTGGTGAAATTATGAAATGAAATGCGGATGAGAAAATAATGCATGTAAGTGATTTTTCCAGAAAATGATACAGAAGAAAAGATAGTTGCAAAGAATGTAGCAAAGAACAGTTAAGAGACAAAGAAAATGCAGAGCAATTTTAATGGAATTAAAAAAAAATGATTTGGAAATGGGTTAAAAGGGGTAAACAAGGAACTTCTAGCATAGTGAATGGAATTTAAAATTAAAAGTGATAAAATGATTTGGGATGAAACTCAAACAAGGGAATGAAGAATGAATATTTTAGAGATTTGTATGGGAATGAATGTGATATATCAGAGTAGAACTTGAATGAATCCTATAAACATTAATGTACAAATAACAGGGTAAAACTACAAGTTTAGATGATGTAGCTGGAGAAATATTAATAATAGTAATGTGATTTCCCCTTCATGGATCACTGCCTTGTCGTGGCGAAGGGGCTTGCGTAACTCAGTGAAGCCATGAGCTATACCGTGCAGGGCCACCCAAAAAGGAAAAGTCAATAAAAAGAGGTTTTGCAAAATGTGGTCCCCTGGAGAAGGAAATGGCAACCCACTCCAGTATCCTTG